GTAGTGGTAGTTGTTGTTGTTGTTGTAGTAGTAGTCGTCGTCGTCGTCGTAGTAGTGGGCGCCCCGCCCCTACTAATCACCTCTGCTACAAGCCCTCTTAAGAGCACATCCGTTTGACTCGGTATTTACGGTGCGTTCGTCGTGTCATACCACTACCACGTCTTCTTGCCTCAAAATTCGCTCCTGGATTTTGGACAAATTGGGCTTCGGATTGGGGTTGGGTGGTGGGGGGGGATGACGACATTGTTGCACAGACACTACGAACAACATCTCCACGCGAGCCGGTTTACTCGGTATTTACAATACTTCCGTGATGTCGGACCCTCTTCTATAGTCGCCAAAGCTTCTGGACTTTGCGAACTCGACTTTGGGATTTCGGAGGGCTTTCTGCGAAACTCGAAATTGGGTCGGGGGAAGTTTCCACACCTAGCGCGCACACCTCAAAAGCAAACCCTCCTTCGCCGAGGTCTGGGCTTTAAGGGTGTTGGCGAGCTCCTCCCACGTACAGATGGCATCTTTGCTTTTGATGTTGTTAAGATGTTGCACTTCAAGTTTTTTACAGTAAAGGGAGGAACCGAACAGCGAACCGACGAACCCGGTCAAATGAACCAGCACCGTACGAACCGAAAATTACATAGCGAACCGAGAACCGAACCGCAGGCTAAACCGAACCGTTTTCGGTTCATTTGCTTTGTCGGCTGAGGACCACCCAGACCTCACTAAGGCTGGCCTGAGGCCCAATTTAGGCCTGGGCCTGGAAGCTTCGGGCTTTGGAAATCTCGATTTCAAGAGGCAAAGCTCAAAATGACACTCCCCGCGATTGAGCCCACGACCTTCCCAGGACGGCCTGTCAGACAGGCCGGTATCCACTGAGCTGCCGGGCGGTTTCTGGATTTGGGCCTTGGGCCTGCAAAGAGGGCGCCTTTGAGGCTTGGGTTCACAGAAAATCAAAGTCTTCGGTTCCCAACGGTACCGTTCTTGAGCTTGGAAAGGAAAACGTACCGTTTTTGTGCTTGAAAGGCCTGGCAAACACAAAAAAACATTTTTGAGTTTGGCGTGGCCTCCCGCATCGGGAAAAGGTGGTTTTTGAGCTTCAGGAGCCTGGAAAACACCAAAAACGATATTTTTTGTGATTGGACTGGCTTCCCAACCATCCCGCCCCGGAAAAAGGTACCGTTTTTGAGCTTGAAAGGCCTGGAAAACCACCTAAAAAAGGTGATACTTTCTTGTGTTTGGCGTGGCTTCTTAACCATCCCGCCCTGGAAAAAAGGTACGGTTTTTGAGCCTGAGAGGCCTGGAAAACACCCTAAATTTTGAGCTTCGGAAGCCTTGAAAACACCAAAAAAACCTTTTTGTCTCTGGCGCGGCTTCCCAACCATCCCGCCCCGGAAAAAAGTACCGTTTTTGAGCTTGACAGGCCTGACAAACACAAAAAAAATACTTTTTTGTGTTTTGCGGACATCCGAGAAAGGTTGATTGAGCTTGAGAGACATGGAAAACACTAAAAAAAGTAATCTATTTTTGTGTTGCGCGTGGCTTCCCGGCGAGAGTTATCGGAAGGCTTTTGAGCAGATGAGCGCTTTGCCTTGAGGAGCACATGGTTTCTGTGGTTGCAGTTTCAGGCGAAGAGCGTGATGATGCGTGAATGGAAGATGGGCGTCGTCGGCAACATTGTCATCGTTTTACGCATCAGCATATTGAGAGCAAGCTCAACATCAGCCCCAAACTCCTAAATCGCCAGCACCATCACGCACCACATCACCCATTCATTGCGAACCGCGAGCCGAACCGATGAACCGCATTTTTGAATCCGAACCGATGAACCGAACCGTTCATGCGAAACCGAACCGGCCCTTTCCTGTTTTTGGAGTGTTAAAACCTTCCTGGCAGCACCTGCGTTTTGCACGGTATTTACATTGTTTTCGTACTATCCGACCACCTGTGCTTTAGCAGTTTCTTCCCCGTCGAGTTGACAACTCCAACCGCTGTCACAGTTTTAGGACCTGAGCCTCTGCAACTTCACCGAACCCCCCCACACAACGGCATCCCCCCACAAACGCCCAGGTACCAGCCATGTCCCCTCCCGCCCCCAAACCCCTCAAATGCCCTTGAGGGAGGAGCCGAGCCGTGTCGCTCCACAGGGCGGAGCGTCCTAACGCTTTGATACACAGCATTATACAGTCTTGCAGCTCGGGTCTCTTCATTTAAAAAGCAATGTTATACATATACATATGTCAGGTCTGCTTTTCTACCCGGATATACAACTATATACGTGTGTATACATGTACACATCTCTACATTTCTACATCTATACAGACCATACACCTAAACATTACATCTATACGTACGTCCATGCATCACACAAATAACATACTCACAGAAAATAGGTCTATCTGATGCCGGGATCCTCAGCATCCTCGTGGTCGAAAATGTCTAACAAGTCCTCAGTTGAAAAATCTTGTCAAGTCCTGCGTAGCACCACAACTCACCGCCTCCCGGAGGCCATCAACATGCAGCAACGCAGCTGTAAAGTTTGTAAAGCTTCATCATACTTTCACACTTCCTTGTGCCTTCCAAGAGTCAGAAGGCGTGGCAACGATGACCGAAGCATCCATCAAATTCCACCAAGAAGCACGCGCTGATAGAGTTGCTAATGCCAGAATACCTGGCAGAACTGTAGGAGGGAGCCTCTCTTTCTTTGTTTCTGCGGGGCGTAGGGGTCGATCACTCGACCCTCAGGCCATTGGCCCGCCCACCCTCTCTCTCTCTCTCTCTCTCTCTCTCTCTCTCTGGCATGGCATAGAAGGCTGTAAACCCCTTTGCAGCTCACCCACCCGTGTTGCAGGACTTGGGGGAGTCAAAAGCAGGAGATCATATTGTGGAGAAAGAGGAGACTTCGCTAATTAGATAATTCAAGTGTGGTTCCCTGCTGATTTGTCCTGGTGAAATCCAATGAAATCCGACAACAGAACATGCATGTGCAGGCAGTCCTTCAACCACCTGCTGGACTACCCCAAGCGGAGATTCATGATTCAAAGGCGTCGGGTATGCTGAGTTGTGCGGGCTTCCTGGAAAAATACCATTTGCGAGGCATTTCTGTCTAAAACATATTGCACATAGGAGCGACGGTTGGCTTTGGCATCCTTTCCGGAAAAGGGAATGGGCGTCAGGAAAGAGCGATTAAGATACTGCCTTGTACAGTAGAAGCATGAGAGAATACAGGAACTCAAGTCAAACAGATTAAGTCCTGGGTCCTCTGTGATAGGAAGAAGTCTGGGAGGTTCGCCGGGAGGTACATCACTCAACAAATCCACAGCCAAATAGCATCTATGCATCTGTGTCGACACGACGGTGTCGGTCAGATACTGCGGTGAGCAATGAGGTACAGGAAATCCCCCAACACAGAGATGCCGAGATGAGCTCGAACAGTTTACAGGTCTGAGTTTTGTCTGTCACGGAGCTGGGCATCGCAAGGTCTGCAGGCTTTCAGGCTTCTCTGTCTCTCTCCATCCTTATGTCTCCACTTACCGACGTCAGAGGCTCAAAAGTGCAAAGCCATTCTCTTTCGGCATTGTGTTCGGAGCAGTGGAAAGACTGGCATGTCTCTTGAATTGCGACGTAGCATCAGCCTCTGCTTAGACAGCAAGGATCTATTTCGGATCGGCCTTGGCAGTGCTCCTCAGCCTCAGCCAAGGTCTGGATTGCCAGCTCCCTGGAAGCGAGGGAGGGAGCGAGGGAGGGAGCTGTGAGTACAATGATCTTGGTTCGGAGGAAGGCCCCAGCCCAACACAGTGACCCCAATGAGGGGGTATCCCTTCAACCCTGGATCTGGAACCTCGTCGGCGTCAGGATCATCACAGAGCTGGGACCTCTCCAAACGCAAGACTGCAGGGTCCGACAAGGGGCTGCAGCACAAAAGCCATCCGGACTGTCCGAGCCTGTGCTGGTTCCATCGCCGTCCTGACAAAACAGCAAAGTCAATGAGATTGCTCTGGGCCCGGCATCGAAACCAGTCCTCGTCGGCTTCACGCGCACGCTGCAGTGCAGGCAGCAAGTAAGCCAACGTTTTGCCCGAGCCTTCCAGGACCGGAGCTAGCTCAAAATGCCACCTTCCCTGCTCTCTCTGCGACAGTCTCAGGGACATCCCTCCCCATGGTTTCCCTGAAGCTCACCCCACACACACACACCAGCCTGTTTCGGAGATCAGGACCTTAGCGTGACATGGGCACTCAAGCGAAGAATGTGTATACTGTATATTACAGTAGAACCGAAGCTTCATTACTGCACGTTGCAGGCCGGCATGGCGGCTTTCGGACTTCGCGACCGAATGCAATGGCTGTTGGGGTTGCTTCTGTGATTGGTCGGGCAGTCGCAGCGAGGCTCAGCAGGTTCATCGGCATGAGTATGGGCTGGAACAGTGCAATTTTGCCCTCTCATGCAAATCAAGCGGGACACAATTGTATGGAAGTTCTCATCGAGAATTATCGATGTCGCTTCCGATCGAAGAAGCTGGCGAAGACCAAAATCTGCAATTGCTCGGATACAGATGCATCTCCAATTTAGCATCACTGCTGCACCATTGCACAAACCAAATCAAAGCTGCACACCAACCCGGGGATGAGCCACTCTCTCAGTGCAAAAACGCTTGCATCCGCGAGACTGCATGCTTCCCAGAGCCGATATGTGGCAGCGCCAGCGCCTGGATGGGACCTGCCGCATAGGACTGCAAGGGGACCCTTCCCCTTCGCGAAGAGGCAGTGCTCTGACGCGAAGGTCCGACGCCGAGGGGCTTGGCGCACTGATCTGATGTTCCAGGAGCGATCGTCGTGACTCCATGGGCAATGCAGGGAGAAGCTCCTGCAACGGCACTCTGGCGACATGATGGACGTCGATTCGCTCTCTTGTCCTCGATGGCAACATTGCCCACATCCACGGCAACCTTGTCCTTTCAGCTGCTGACTATGGTTATTTCGGACTGGCCTCAAGTTTTCCGTGTTCAACGCACATCCCATGCTCGCTGGCGTCTCGAACCGTGAAGCTCCAAAGGCAAAACTGATGCAATCATAACAGAGTTCAAGCCGCGCGCCTCCATCACTTGCCGTGGAGCCAAAAAAACACTTGTGGAGCACGAACCCAAGGCCAGTAGTGCTGCCTGCACAGACACTTGCTGCTGGTGATCCCACATGCCAGACATATGACACATCATTGACAACAGCGCAACCACCTATGATATGGAGAGAGTGAAACCCTGGAATACCCTGGGGTGTGCTTTTGTCACAGCTTTACATACTGCTGCACCTGCAAGCATCAGCAACCAAGCTACTACGTGTTGCTTCGCATTTCTGCAAAAAAAGACACGACAGCAGCAACCCTTCTTCGCGCGCCGTGTCAGCAAAGTCCTACTAGAAAGGTCCACAGAGGACTGCAATCCGGATGCTCCCACGGAGTAGCCCGCGAAAGTCGACCATCGTCTCCTGCAAGGAGGCATGGGGACCAATCCCCTCAGCCCTCAATGACGAAACGACTCGTCCAAACAATGGGGGAGGTTTCTCAGACTCTCTCTGTCGCCAGCCACTCCTTACGTTGAAGATGGCCGTAGCCACTCACGGTAACGACCAGTCACGTGCATCCGGAGGATGGCAAACTGCTTCAAGCGAAGGAAGTACAAGAACAGACGAAAGGGCTTCCTACAGCAGTGACGCTCTGAGCTCATTTTGCTTGGCAGAAAGATGCATCGTTGTGGATCATCGACAGCACGCGCGCCCAAATCTCACACAAGAAAGCCAGCATCACGAGCATCAGGGGCACGGTGTTTCTCCAAAGTGCGTCTTTTCAACTGCGAATGGCCACCTGCTCTTAGAGCATGGGGGGTCATTGGCTCGGAAAGCCCACGACATTTTTGGCTTTCCCCACTCGAACTTCCCCCCACTCCCCCCGCAAAGGCCAGCGCATTGCACGAAAGCACCTCTAAAGCATTCAGGGAGCTTGCGTGAATGTTGTCAAGAGTTGCATGGTGGACATTGCGAGATCTGTGTGGGGATTGCTGAAGTCGCGAAGTCCAAGAGCAAGGTGAAACACACGAGGACCATCGCAAGAGACACTGCAATAACCGTTGCGTTAACTGGAAATATGAGGCTGAGTGGTAAATGCTGCGAAGCTTAGAGGATCTACATGGGAATCTGCAGCATTATGCAAGGATGAAACGGAAGAAGTTTTCGGTAAGCACGCGGAACAGGAGGACACATTGGTACGTACGAAAGCTGCATCTCATGGGCTCCTGACCCTGCTTGCCTTTCCACAGAACTGGAGCACCTGCATTGACAGTTTGCCAACACGTTAATCTGCCACATCACTATCACCAAGCAAGGTGGCAAAGCCTGCCGGAAGCCATGCTGGCGACAGCTACTTCGCATGGCGAACTCCGGTGGGGAGTCGCGATTGGGCAGTGTGTGTGTGTGTGTGCGTGTGAGGTAGGTCGTTGAGTCGGTGAGCTGGGTGGATGTGCTATTCGTCTTTCGCTGCTTCTGGGACCTTGTGGGTCGTGCATCCGTGCATGCTTACCAGGCTCTGATGCGGTTCTAGCACGGGTCTTCATGGGCCTGTCCGGCTAAACGGCCAGTCCTGATACGTAGTCTAACTCTGGTGGTACCCAGGAGCAACTGGCAGTCTGGACATTTGTTGCTTCAACAAGCTTGGGCGATGCTGGTCAAACCTTGTGCATTTTATGGCATGCCTGTCAATCATGCAAGTTCTGAGTGGAGTCTCACATGGGCACTGCTACGCCTGCTTGCTGTAGTAACAGTACCATCAACGCCAGCACCAGCAGCACAAACTCCAACTAAAGCGGCTCAATGGTGAGATGGTATGGCAGATGCTGAACCGTGTTGCCTGCAAGTCTGACCTTTGCCACCATCGAGGCCGGGGAAAGCTTCGGTTCTCGTGATCCCAAGCATAATGGCTTTGGAGCAGAAAAAGCAACTCTTGCAAGTCCGAGCTGCATCTCGATCTAGACCCCCATGTTGTCCAAGACTGTGTTCGGATAGGTGCCAACTCTTTACGCCAACAGTGGTGTCTAGGAGTGGTCGGAGTCGGAGTAGAGTTAGGATTAGATGCCGAGTCGAATGCATGTGTATGCTCAAACCTCAGGTTTTGTCAATATGCATTTTCCACAATATCCCCGACGGTACCTCTGCAGCAGTAGTGGAACGACTGCGAAGACATCGGCTGCAGCCCCAAGCCTAGCCGAAGTCACGCCGGACTCCACATAAACGACACCTGAACGAGCGTCTAGCCTCGAAACGACTGGAAATCAGGACTCCACAGCATTGTTGTTTCGCTGCGCCAATCATGTCGCTTCCAGAGCTCTCAGAGGACTTGTCGCAAAGCCTTGCCACGCACAAACACGCTTATGCACACACGGGTGGGCAACTCACACCAGGCAAAGGGAAGGATCTTGCCTTCGTACGATTCAGAAGCAACGGGCAGGGATGGGCAATCGCAACCCACACGCATGTTGCATACAAAGCCTTGGGAGTCCAACTCCGGGGTGCGTCGCGACGAGATCTGCGCTTCGTACGACTCAAATGCACGGGGTGCAAAATCGCAACATGCAAGTGGCATGAACGTCGTGGCGCGTGCGAGAGGAAAGGACACGGGTCAGGTCTGGCCTTCGCATGGTCCAGAAGCGGCTATGCACGGGCAACACACAACTCAGACACAAGTTGTGGAGTATGCACAGGATATATGTACGTATGTATGTGCATATATGTATGTGTATATATATATATACTTATATGATGTAGAGTCGAGACAGAGAGACAGAGAGAGAGAGAGAGCGCACGGGCGACATGGAACCAAACAGAAAGAGAGACACAGGGAGATGGAGAGAGAGCGCGACACCGAGAGAGGGAGAGATGATGTTTCTGTTTTGTATGTATGTAAAGAAACATAAACCTACATGTAAATGTAAATCAATGTAAATCACGTATACATGCAGGCAATGTATAGAGGACTTCGCACGATACTAGAAACAAACCGATGGGTGCGCAGGCGCAAGACGCAATCACTCACACACAAGTCGCGGCGCGTGACGAGAGGGAGGGAGAGATCTGAGCAGGAATGGAAACACTGAATTACTGAGTTCCCGAAAGTGAGTCTTTACAGAGTTCGTGCAACCACCAGGGGGATGACTGCCCTTCGTCGTAAGCGTGCACCACAGGTGGGCCTACTAACTACCAGCTTTGACGGCACACCGACTTTATGATCTTTGAGCGCAGAGGCGTTCAACATTTTTTCGGGAGTCTGTGAAAAAGCCGCTAAGCATCGAAAAGTCTCGTTCAAGCGTCGCGACAGTGGCTCACGGCTTGCACTGGCTCTTCTATTATTGGCATTCTTGCAGCGACGTCCTCCGACACTGTCGTGCAATTGGGCGAAGGGCCACGGCAAGTTAGTCTGAATGAGACAAGATGAGACAAGCGTGGCTGATTGACCCCACAACGCTCTCCTCAGGGCCTGACTGGAAGTTTCAAGCGCTTGCTGAGCTGCTGCTCGGGATGCATTCGTCACCATTCGTCCCCTGTTTTGCTGGGGCCCTTGCTCGGCTGAAGGCCTCGCCACAAACGTCTTCGCGAAGGCCGAGCCACAGAGTCCAAGAGTAAAGCGTCTCCTTGCTTCGCAGCTTCCACACCCTAAATCTTGGATGCTTTGACCCCTATATGGCTGAGGGCCACTGAAGCATGACCTGTTAGCCGCTGTTAGCCTCCAACATACTACATGAGACGCAAAACTGCAACTCCTGGTCTGCGAACATCTCCACGATATTCCTGGCTAAGCTTCGTAGAGCAGCAAATATGAAAGCTGATTTCTGTTCTGATTAGTGATGACAGCTGATGACTGTCGACCATTCAATTCGCACTTCAACCAATGTCAAACGACTTGCCGCCGTTGACGGTAGTCCTGGCTCCTTCCATCTCATTCCAATCCCGATGTCACCCAAACGAGCCCACATGACTTTGGAGGACATGCACAGTGAGAAGCCAACAAACCGCTTCTACAACGGCTGCTCACGTGAATGTGGTTTTACTGCCATACACTTGCTTCTGCATGCCTAGGACTACGACTGCGCCTCCACAAGAAGCAATCCCTGCAATGGCAAGCTGCTCATGGAATCTCATGGAACACGAGAGATCTTGCGACGGACAGATGGACACGGAAAAAATCCGGCTTTCCACAACCTCCCAAGTCTTGCATAGTCTTGCCGTGCCTCACGAAGCGCGTAGGGCTGCGAGTTGTATCCTGAGGCTCAATGACCTGGGTAATCAACCGACGGTATCAGCCCGTGTCAGCACCTTCATATGTCCCTTGCTTAGTTGGCAAGCCAGTGCGAGCTTTTCACAACACGGTGTAACTAGGCCATCCACTGGAGAGGCACCATCGAACACCGGAATACTGCGTAGATTGATGAAGAGCCTGGTGTCAAGTCAACTGAAACATCTCAAATCACGACAGCTTGGCACCCACGACATGAGCTGTGAGCGTACAGCAGAGGAGGAAGACTGCTGTGCCGTTGAAAACTGAAGCCCTGTGCAACAATCTGAAACACACGCGTGCCTGTCACCATCATCATCTAGCAGCTGGCTGATTTGCCAGTCTCTCCGTCCTGTAGATAGCCACATTTCGCATGGTACATGCCGCATGGCCTTCCAAGTCTGTTCGGGCTGAGCTGAGCGGCTGAAGCGCATGGACAGGTCCAACGCGATGTCGATGAGGGATCTGCAATTAGCGCGTGCACATACGCGCACACTCTCTCTCGCTCCAGGTGTGCCATCGCTGTTGTCTGGCAATGTCAGGATCATGGACAAGAACCGAAAGCATGAGAAGTTGAACGTGGCGGGAGGCTACCACTGCGTCGAAACTGCGCGTCCATGCCAACACCAAATCAGAGACTTGGTCACTGCACTTTTGCGCGGGAAACCGTCAGTCATTTCAATGACAAGGGATTATGGCTTCATGCTTGTTGCGGAATCTTGTTTTGGATTTTTGGGGTGAAGGGGGGTGGGGCATGGGGGGGGGTGCGGGGTAAGTTTCGATTGACGACCTTTCGAAAGTGCGGGAGTTCGACTGTCGGCAGGGAAGTTTACACGCCGGAGCGATTTGCAACAGTTCAAGATTTCCCTGCGGTTAGAGGAGCGGACCCGAGTTCGACAGGCGCTTGATGAACGACTTGATGGAGTCTTGAACCTCTATGCCTCTATGTAAAGGTTTGAGGCTTCCCGCACGTTCTGCGAATCACAAGCAAGCTAATCACATTCTGACGGTCTGTCTGCTGTCCTGAACCTGCAACCTGTCTTGCAGTTCTTTCTCAACTCCACAGCTTGGCACGGCCAAAGAACAGACAGAAAGGGGGAAGAGAGACCGCAGCGGCAGCGGGGCAAAAGTGCAACCACCCTGGCCAACAGCTGACCCATTGGGCGGCCTGCCGCGCAGCCGCACACTCAGATGCCGAGTGGAGGCTAGGTTGGCAACTGCCTGCAGGCATCGAGCAACAGCTGCCTCTCAGGCCAAACACCTCGAAAGCTTTCCAATGGCTGCCTGACCATGACCGGGACCATCGCGCATCGGAACAATCAAGCTGAGCTTCACCTCCATGAAACCAGAAGTCCCACAAATCTCGTGTCATCTTCCAGTACATGCACCTGAGCGAGGTTCGCCGCCGAGCTGAGAGCAGAGGCAAGAGCTGCCTGAGACGTGGCATCTTCTTCAACTAAAAGTGACGGCACTGAGATGTGAGATGCGTACCACCAGAAGGTGATCAGTCGGGATTCCGGTCACTCCGGCGGCCGCCTCTACAGACACCGAAACCGTCGCATGATGTTGCATGCGTCAACAGGTTGGGCCTCCAAGACCCGACCAGCATTCGGCAAAAGCTTCACATAGTGATCGTATCCTGGCCGTCGCAGAATGCTGGAGCATAAGCGGCGCAGCAGTAGCATGTCGCATGCTGTGCCTCGCTTTCTGGGCGGGCAGCCATTGTGGGCCAAATCCAAACGGTCGTCCAAGCCTCACTGAGTCCATGCAGAAAGTAAAAATGCAGAAAGGGACCGACCCTCTTGACTCCTGTCCCACCCCTACGAACCTTCAATGAGCTCTGGCAGTAGTGCGGTGCTCAAGCGGGCCTGGCGGACAACTCCCACCAACCATACAACCATAGAAGAGAATTACGGACAGGTTCATGCATGCCGCGTCCACACACCAGATTCTTTAAACGCGATGTCCTTCTCTTAAGTGTGCACGCAGATCCCAGCCAGCATCGCGGCACATTGCGGCAGGGCGCGCTGCCTGTGCGATCTGGAGGCCGTCGGGTGCCGGCGGCAGCGCAGACCGAGCCAAAGCGGCCCTGGCCGAGGCCTCCGCGCAACTTCTCCGCTCTGCGCTCATCTGTGCCCTTTCACTGCAATGCGATCTGACGGCGACAAATGCATGCTAGGATTCCACAAGCTCACACCTCCAAATCACCGCCGTCGCCGTTGCACTCACGTGCCGCATCGTGCAGAGCCAGTCTCCCGAGGCGCACGTCACACATCGTCACACCCGTACAATGAAGCTCAGCCCGTTACAAGTCGGCAACCAGCGGGACGATGCAAGCCGCATCTGTCCTCAAGAAAACAGCACAATGCATCCTAATGCATCCATATCCATAGGCGGAGTGACTCTTCCCCGCTGCGTCTGAGCCATTGGCACTGCATGATTGACTGCCTCAGGAGGCTGAGAAAAAAAACACTGCACCTTGAACTTCTGTTCGTCACTCGCACAGTCTGAAAGTGGTTTCGCTTGGTTTGGCTTGCCTTCGGCAGGAAAGGGGCTGGTGCGGAGGGGACCGCTTGCCCCTCGACCCCCGTCGAATCTACACCTGCCAAAGAAAGATAGACCAAAATCAAGAAACGACGGATAGTGCCAACGGAGTAGGTTGCGACAGGAGTGTATAAACAATAACAAATCGTATGCATGCATGTAGAAAATTGGAAATAATGTAGGTGTATGTAAATGTATATGTACATGTATATGTATATGCATATGTGTACATATATGCACTTATATGTTTGTATTTGTATGAACATGTATGTATGCAAGTGTTTATGTATATTGTATATATATAGACAGATATATGTATATGTTGTCTGTATACAGATGTATGTTTCTGCATGTATGTCTATGTAAACTGTGCATATACATACATACATGCATACATACATGCATACATCCATACATGCATGCATGCATGCATGCATGCATGCATGCATAAATACATACATACAAACATACATACATACACATACATA